TTTTTAGGGTGTCTTCATTTTTATGTGGACTTTTCTGTCTTCATTAATCGCTAATGCTGTATTTGCAGACCTCAGTTGCCTTTCTTCTCTAGATGCGTTTCCATGGGTGTGAAAATGTGTTCATTCAGACTAGTTTGGTAAGTTGCTTTTAAAATTATCTCCACCCCTACCATTTTCCCCTAAAGTCTAATTCAACTCCAGAATCTCCTTCAATTTTGTGCAGGAAAAAAGCCAAATTCTTAACACTGACATTTTATATACCTTCCCTTCCCCTTCTCCCTTTTTTTGATGGTGGTGCTAAGGAACTCTCACATGTTTACAAACCTGATTCTGAGAACACATTCAACAAATATTTCATAAACAGTTGAGACTCGTGCATAATCTAGTTAGGCTTGAGGGGTACAATGGTGAGCAATGAACAATGGACATGAGTTTCATGATCATATGTCTATAAAACAAAAGGATATTTTGAACATCCAATGAAAGCTAGTTCAACATGAGTGAGGCTCTTAAGATAACCATTCTTAGGAAGTCACAAAGCTGCTGTCCATGCATAAAATTAAACAAATTCAGCCTCTTTTGCTGAAACTAGAGCATTGAAGAAAAACTGGATATAGACTGTTTCCCCTAATCTTATTTACATGCAATTCTAATTTACTTATGCTCCTTTATAATTGTAATTTTTCCTTTCCCCAGTAACTATTTCAATTTTTCCCAAGTTCCAAGTTACCACTGCTTATCTTAAGCCTGTAATTCTACTTTGTATTTTCTTATAGTTCTTTTAGAAATGGGTCTGAAATGAAACATTTGTCGTTTCCCCTCAATTTCTTTTGAATAGCCTCTCTACCTGCTTTTCTCTTCTTAGAACACCAACCTTTAAGTGTCTACCTCTTAAATTAGCTTATTGAGTCTCACAGTAACTTTGACAAATAACACTGCAGGTAAAGAACTGTTACTTAGTGAAATAAAGTGATCTAATGAAGGCCACACAGACAAAAGTTTGGGATTCAAGTCTGACTGTGTCAGGCTCCTAAATCCTTCCACTCCCCATACTGTTTTTCTACACCAAACTGTCCTTATTACTCCTGGGCAACGTTGTGCATCCTAGGTGTGTTTTTATTTTTCCTGCTTCATCCATCATGTATATAGGTATGAGTTTTTCTGATCACTACATAAAGTTCCTTTTCCTCTTCTCTCACTCCTTCTTAAAACGTTCCTGCTCTAATCAACACTGAGTCACCTTTCTGGCTTTATCTGAGAAAAATCTTGATATTGCCTACTCAGCTCTAGAATTCCCTGGTTGGGATTCCAGGGTTCATCCTAAGTTTACTGGACTTTTCCTTCTCACAAAAGTTGGTGATAACCCAGTAATTGCAGGAGGCAGCCACATCATTACCCTCTGCATAAGAAACACTTTACCTGACTATGCCACTTTAAAAAGGCTTGAGCATCATCTCAAAGCGGCTCTTTTTAATCCCCAAGATTATTGTTCCTAAACACGTTGCTCTTCCAGTAATCCTGTTCCATTTTTATTCTGGTAACATTTTCTGAAGAGCGCAATCTCTCCAAATACTGAAAGTTGTTACCTTTGTCTAGGACTTGAATTCATTTATGCTTAGATTAAAATTGTGTAGTGGTTTCCAACACAGTTCATTGCTTGGTTAGCTGTTCGCATTTCCTCCAAACAGATGTTACCAAGAAACTTTTTAAAAAGCCAAATGTCCTTTCTCTTAAGCTATCAAAGGCTGCTTCCTCTCCACTTCTCCAGACTACGTGGACATAACAGTGATATTTAATAATCTTCCTCTAATTTCTCATCTTCATGGAAACCTTTCGTTCATTATCATGTTCAAGCTTTCAGTTTAATATAGCACTTGACTTCAAACACCCTGTTTGTAGCTGACAGCATATGCCGCCCATTGTTACAAAATGAAACTGTTGACTCTGCATATCTAATTTTTTAGTTCGTTCCATTAGTAGTCTTCCTGATGAATCTTATTTACCCTCTACTTTCTGGGTTATATACACAAATAGTTAAGAAACGCTGGCTACTTCTCCTTCACTTTCCTTTCCTTCATGCACCACTCATACAGGTAAAGAATGCGATGCCAGGTGCAGTGACTAGCGCCTATAATCCCAGCATTTTGGGAGACCAAAGCAGGAGGATCGCTTGAGCCCAGGAGTTTGAGACCAGCCTGGGCAACATAGCGAAAGCCTGTTTCTACGAAAAAAATGCAGAAATTAGCCGGGTGTGGTGGAACATGCCTTTAGTCCCAGCTCTCCAGAGGCGGAGGTGGGAGGATCACCTGAGCCCAGGGAGGCCAACACTGCAGTAAGCCGTAATCATACCACTGCACTCCAGCCTGGGTGACAGAGTGAAACCCTGTCTCCAAAAGAAAAAAAAAAAAAAAAAAAAGGCATTATCTCCCTTTTTAACAGGTAGAGCAAGAACTGCAACCAGGATTTAATGTCCTTTCTCTTAAAATATTTTATTGTGCGGAACCCAAAGGATGTTCACAAGTAATAAAATGGGCCAACATGGTATGTCCTACTCTGTAGCACAGGAGAAAAAAAAAAAAAGGTAAATAGTGCATAAGGCTACACTTGTCAAGCTCTCTGTAGAGGTAACTAAAATAAAAATAACCTGTTTACCATCCTTTCATTGTAAGTACTATTCCTTTTAAATTCTTTTCAAATCACATACTAGGAAAATAATGCTTTTTCTTTTCGCTAAATGGCCTTTTGGCTTGCCACATGCAAATAAACATTTACAAAGTGAATGGATTTGACTATTCTGAGCCAAATTATGTCCCTTTTGTTTTCAGAGCTATGGCCACACAATTCACGTGTATGTACAAATTTTTCTAATTTAAGAGGTACTGAACCATATGTACTCACTAATAATTCCATTTACTCAGTTGGCACGTTAAGTGCCACTTCATGTTGCCTAGCTGATTCAGTAATAATTTATAATTCAGCAAAAGTCATTATTTTACTGACTTATGTTCTGCAAAATCTAAGTCGAATAATCAACAGTAAGACAAGTTAATACACAATATTAATAACCACACTATAAAGAAATGAGGGGCCATATGGCCTTTAAGAACTACTATTTATGTAGTTTCCAAAATATTTTTCACAAACATCATCTTTTAGTCCCAATCCAGTAGCTCAGCTATTAAAAATTCCTATTATATAAATGAGACAATAGTTTCTGTCTATATCTGACACTAATGCTTTTACCAATTTAGGCTATTTTTGAGTCTCACTTTGTCGCACAGACTGAAGTGCAGTGGTGCAATTTCGACTCACTGCAACCTCCGCCTCCCAGGTTCAAGCAATTCTTGTGCCTCAGCCTCCTGAGTAGCTGGGATTACAGGCGTGCACCATCATGCCCGGCTAATTTTTGTATTTAGTAGAGACAGAGTTTCGCCATGCTGGCCAGTCTGGTCAAGTGATCCTCCTGCCTCAGCCTCCCAGAGTGCTGGAATTACAGGCATGAGCCACCACACTGGCCACCAATTTAGGCTTTCCAACTATAGTACTATACTAGTTGCATGGACCTCAACTTTTTTTTTTTTTTTTGAGAGAGTCTTGCTCTGTCACCTAGGCTGGAGTGCAGTGGTGTGACTTCAGCTTACTGCAACCTCCACCTCCTGTGTAGAGGCGGTTCTTGTGCCTCAGCCTCCCAAGTAACTGGGATTACAGGCGTGCATACGCCACCATGCCCGGCTAATTTTTTTGTATTTTTAGTACAGATGGGGCTTTGCCATGTTGCCCCAGCTGGTCTCAAACTTCTGGCTTCAAGTGATTTGCCTGCCTCAGCCTCCCAAAGAGTGGCGTTTACAGGTGTAAGCCACCACACCTGGCCTTGGACCTCAACCTTCTAAGTCTAAATTCTTTTAGCTATAAAACTGTTGGCCTAGAATTGAACTCCTCCTGCAAGCAACTAAATGATCCCAGGTACAGGATCATATTTAAAACCAGAATATTCTATGTAAATTTGGCATTCTATTCCAGAAATTTTAAATCTCAAAGATGGTATAATAATCAAATATTATTAACCCCATCTCAGAACAGTTTAATAACTTTCTATAAATCACAAATGATTTCATACCAAGAAAAACAATATGTAATTATATGTAATTTTAAAAACATAAAATTATATTCCTAAAAACTTGGGGAAAATCAATTTTTCCTAACTAAAAAAATTCAGTTGTTCTTAAAAAATACTCCACAAAAAGTTACAGTAATATATAATCTCCCGCCAGTCTGTTCAGATCCTGTTTAAACTGTAAGATTTCAATGAAGCATACCATCATGGATTCATTTGAACCATGAACAACCTACAACCAACTTTTAAGATTTCAGTTTCCAACCAAAGGGTTTAATGTTGGCTGCCTATTATTCATGTAATACATTAATAATGTATTTCTTCACAGGAATGATTGACTTAATTTTTAAAAACTATACATTATAGCAACCTAACATTAATAGTGACATTCTAATGTTTTCATCACCCATGACCTAAGCACATTCAAGTTTTAACTTGTACTGGTTACACACTGTCATTCTGTTTTTTTTTAAAAAATCAAAGCTTGTGTTTTAAATTGAAGAAGCATTTATCTTAAAACATTTAAAAATCTGCTAGATGGAATATATGTTGGCTATAAAAAAGTTCAACTCATGACTCTCCAATATAAGTAATATTAAGTCATTTCATTAAAAAATTTAGAAGTTACTTTGCATTATCTGTAATGTTAACACTAAATGTTTTAAACACTAAAAGTTGCTTAACAATGAGGTATAAAATGATGTTTGAATCTGCATTTACTATAAATCATTCAGTAGTGATATATTACACATATTTAAACAGTACTTTTACATAGCCTGCTTTCTGTTTAGCATTGAAACACAGAATTTACTAAAGTTAGCAGATTTTGAATACAATTGGTTATCTCTAGGATAAAAATTTCTTCTTTTAAAAAATAATCTTTCAGGTAATGTGCAAGCAGTCTTGTGCAGAAATGGGAAAGGTTTTTGCCTAACCAAAGAACATACTACACGAAACACAAACGAAAGAAGAAGACTACTTCAGAATGGAACAGTCATTAGTTCAAATGAACCATACGGGCTTGTAGAAGGGCAAGTAAAAACTACACGAGGACTTGGATTTCATGGAAATCTCAAGCTGAAAAAGTCCATTATCCCAGCACCTCAAACTATTTCTGTCCCTATAGATGACCTATGTCAATTCCTTATTTTAGCTACTAAGGGACTTTGGGAAGTTTTGGATAAAGAGGAAGTCACTGCCCTGGCAATGACAACATTTCACATGTATAAAGAAACATACTGTTCTATCATACCTAAAAAATCTTCACCATCCAAAGGGCCTCTGCTTTTTTCAACCATTGAACCAAACCTTACTAAATCACAAAGTAATATCCACGTATTGTTTCAGTATAAATCTGTATCTGAAGGATGTGTGTCAACTACAGATTCCAAAGAAAATTTGTCCGATTCAAACTATTCTAAATACTGCATTTATAACCCTGAGAATGTAGAAACATTTCCAGCAGAAACGACTCATCATAAATCTTGCAGTGAAAAAGTAACTGACAGACCAACTAGTGTCAATGGTGTGGCAACAAATGAAAAAGAATCAGGCACTAAGAGTTTCTATGAAGGTGCAGCTGAGTACGTTAGCCGTGAACTTGTAAATGCTGCTTTACTGGCTGGCTCCAGAGACAACATTACAGTTATGGTAATATTTCTCAATGGAAGTGAGTATCAGCTTCTGACATAAAAAATAAAAGTTCCAATTATCCAGAGCACCAAAATATAATACCATAAAGCAATTCTTCAATGATCCAGATATTAGGACGATTCATCAATAACATGCAATTTTATGAACACAGTAAAGAAAATATAAAAGCGGATATTAGGTCATATAATTTATATATGTTCACTGTTTTATGCCAAAAAAAAAAAAAAAAGAAAGAAAGAAAAACCAATACTTGCTTTTTATACCACTTTATTCCAACCTGAGCACCTCAATATAAAACTAAACACTGGTGAACCGTTTTCCTAATTCTGCATTATTGTAAATGTACAAGTTCTCCTAGCAGTCCAACACTTAAATAGACTAAATCATCTCTGACACATGGTAGCTTTCATATAATGAAAATACCTAAAATAATTAGTGCAATATACTGAACTGATCAAAATAAAATGAACTTTGGAAAAGAAGGCTGCAAGATTGTTACTAACATATTGCAATACTTTATGTTACAAATTACGGGTACATTGTTTATTATGGTTCTAGCCATGGAGGAACAACTGAAGCCCCTTCTTGTCCAAGGGGGAGAGAGAAATAATTAGCTATTTTAGTAACTGTACATTTTGTATACTTTTAAGCAACTCTTAAATATTACAGAAAAGTAATACAGATATGGAGACTACAATGCAGTACCCTATTTACAGTACAGCTGAAGATCGAATTTAAAATAATCAAGTTTGAATATACATAATTGTTAGTGCATTGACTATATTATGTCAAAAGGGAACAAAAGCCCCCTCCCTGCCCCAAACAACAAAACCTATGTAATGGCCAGCAGTGATTAATCGGAAATCAGACACCTGGTTTATTTCATTTTTGTTAAAGAACTCACGTTTGAAAGGAACACTATCCATTAAGGTGCATTTATTAGTTCTCAAATTCTTAAAACAAGATGGGATTGCATTTGATTTTTACCCCATTTAAAAAAAAAATGGGACTGGCTATAATTAAGATACCATTAATACTCTTCCCCACCGCCCGACCTTGTATATGTGGGATTATTTTCTTGTGGCTAATTTATTAAAATGTGGAATGTACATTTTAAATACAGATACCAGGAGAAATGAACATTTGCCTGAATACCACGGCTAAGCATCATAAATAACTTTAGAATCTCCTTCTAAAAAAAGGACGTTTTTGAAAAGCCCAAATTAGTAAGTTTCAAAATTTTTTTCACAGGTGACTACTGTACCAGTGTGGAGAAATGGGCTGGTTAACTGTGTGGGTCCAGACAGTCATCTGTCTATATTCCTAGTGATGAGAAATTATTCCTCCTAACCTTCCAATGAAACAAGTGTCCACATAGTTCTCATTTTTTCCCTATTGTTGAAACATTAGTGAGAAGGACCCATGCATGTTATTAAAAATTAAGTTCAAAACACTTAAAATAATTCTGTATTAGAAACTTGACTCTATCATAAGTCTCTTCTTTTGGAAGTCATACTGGGCTGGTTAAATGCTCCAATTCCATTGTTATTAACATTTAGGAAGCAGAAGACTATTCCAGCTAGTTCAAACTAGAGGTTTAGTTACTACAACACTGACTCCTGGTTGGTTGTGTGGGTTCGGTGAGGTCTACTCCTCTTCCTCTGGCAGAATTTGCTCCTGGATTTTGTGGTTCATTCTTTGGCAATTTTTTAGCTGAAAGAAAATGATCAAATAAATGGAATATCTGAATACTCATATTAGTATCAGTTTCACCTGCTATTTATAATTTTTCTTTCCAGTTAGGTTACCCCCAAAGTATTATATAACCACATGTTCATTCTTTTCAAATGTTTACTATCTATTAAATGCCAAAACATTGGTTGCTGTCTTAGGGAGTTTGATTTCTGGGGTAACTGTGTTGGGGGAAGGGTAGATGGGGACTGGCTGTAGACACAATTAAAACTTAAACCTGACTAGTGCTTTATGTAATTCTCTACACAGATTCACTCAGTAATACCAGAAAAGTTGTATTTTATTTTATACTCATTATTACTTCTTCTTCTTCTTTTTTTTTGAGATGGAGGCTCGCTCTGTCACCCAGGCTCACCTAGGCTGGAGTGCAATGGCGTGATCTCAGCTCACTGCAACCTCCACCTCCTGGGTTCAAGCGATTCTTGTGCTCTGGCCTCCTGAGTAGCTGGGATTATAGGCATGCCCCACCACGACCAACTAATTTTTGTTTTTTAGTAGTGACGGGGTTTCACCATGTTGCCCAGGCTGATCCTGAACTGCTGACCTCAGGTGATCCACCTGCTTTGGCCTCTCAAAGTGCCGGGATTATAGGCATGAGCCATGGTGCCTGGCCTCATTATTACTTCTATTTAAAAAAAAAATCTAAGTTAATAAACATGATGGCCAGCCAGTAAGCTTATCAGTAAGTTTATAAAGAAGCTCAGCTCATATCAGCATTCTCCAGGCTGCCACAAACGCTTTTTAGAACAAGTCAGGATAGAAACAAATACCATTGTAATCATCACCTCAACAAAACTTGTCCTCTATTGTGCAACTAATTATCACCCGGAATTATGATAGATCATATCTACTATTTCCTTCCTGGCTTCCACAGCCTTTGGCCTTAAAACATCTATATACATTTTCTCTCTCACACTCTCTTTTTTTTTTAAGAGACAGGTCTCACTCTGTCACCCAGGATGAAGCGCAGTGGTGTGATCATGGCTCACTGCAGCCCTGAGTTCCAAAGTGAGATGGGGTCTCACTTTGTTGCCTAGGCTGGTCTTGAACTCGTGGGCTCAAGCAATCCTTCCGCCTCAGACTTCCACGTGCTGAGACTGCAAGTATGAGCCACCATGCTCGACCTCTTAGTTTTTAAAAGAGAAACTTACACCTTGCAGAGTAACCATCAGCTGCCTTGAAATAAAGGGGAAATAGGTAAGAGTTGGATTTTTGAGAATGAACAATTACAATCTATGCTTTGGGCAAAGGACAGATAAGACCCAAGTTAGATGCCTGCATGTGTCAAAACTTAGCATACTGGAGGAAATATAAGAACACACAAACATACCTTAGCATGCTAGTGGAAATACACTTAGACACAAACATATCTACATACATTCAGACATACTCAACACTTTGTTGTGATCTTAGTTTGAATGTAGCCTGCAGCCATACTTCTTTTCATTTTGGAGACAAGGTCTCCCTCTGTAGCCCAAGCTGGAGTGTGGTGCAACAATCATAGCTCACTGAAACCTTGAACTCCTGCGCTCAAAAGATCCTCCCACCTCAGCCTCCCAAGTAGCTAAGACTACAGGGTATGCACCACCATGCCTGGCCTTTTTTTTTTTATTTGTTTGTTTTGTAGAGACTGGGTCTTGCTCTGTTGCCCAGGCTGGTCTAGAACTCCTGGCCTTGAAGATCATTCCACCGTGGCCTCTCAAAGTACTGGGATTACAGGAGTGAGTCACTGCAACCAACCTCATTTTCTCCTTTTATAGGCTGATGAATCCTAATCTGACTGACCAGTAGCTATACCTAATCCAAATAGAATTATCCTGAAGACCTCATCTCCAAAACCTATTTCCTAACTTTATTTGAGTCAGAGGAGTCTGGCTTGTCAGATTCAGACAACACACTCAACCAGCAGTTACGACTTTACCTCTGCCAAGCTCTATACAGCGAGTGGTTGTTCTCTGGAGTGTTCCCACTGATTAAAAAAAGTACCTGCTGGATATACAGATGCTCCTTGACTTACGATGGGGCTACATCCTGATATATCCATCCTAATTTGTATGTTTTTGATTTATGATTTTTTTTTTTTTTGAG